CTCTGTGGCCTCCCCTGGACTCTCTCCAGCAGTTCCCTGTCTCTCTGGAACTGGGGGACAGGGATCACCTCATCAAACCTCCCAGCCCCGCGTACCTGTTGGTGACGAAGCTGTTGCTGACACTCTCCACGTCCCCCAGCCCCGAGCTCCGCAGCAGACGGTTCTTGCTGGTGTCCAGAGGCAGCAGCAGGTAGCTCATGCGGTTGGCGTAGTGGATGGCCTGGCTGAAAACAGTGCTCTCCTCCTTCTGGATCAGCTCCTGCTGCTTCTCTCGGCTCATGGTGGGCCAGAGCCTCAGCTGCTCTGACGCTATCTCCAGGGCAGACTTGGCTTCCTGTGGCGCCTCCATGCTCTCCTGAAGGAGTTAGAAGGAGATGTCAGATGGTCTCCAGTTGTGGCCAGGGCAGTTGAGATGGGATGTGAGGAAGAATTTCTTTCCTGAAAGGGTTCTGAGGCATTGGAAGGGGTTGCCCAGGGCAGTGGTGGAGTCCCCATCCCTGGAGGGATTGAAGAGTCGTGTAGACACAGTGCTGAGGGACATGGGTTAGTCATAGGGGACTGGTCAGTGTTGGGTTCATGGTTGGACTCAATGAGCTTAAAGGGCTTTTCCAATCGAGGAAATTCTGGGATTCTGTCAGGTATCTGTGTGGACAGGAGACCTGCCAGCCCTCACCCCACTGTTCCCACAGGAACCTCCCAGAACCAGGATGGAGTCCCTCAGGCTGGTTCAGCTTCCTTACCAGCCCGTGGACCTTCAGGGAGAGCTACTTCTGCACAGCAGCTCTCCAGGGACAATGTCACCACTGTCACCTCCTCACCTCATCCGTGTGGTTCTCCTCATTGTTGTCCAGGTACAAGGCTCGGATGTGGTTCTGCACATCACAGTAGAACATGGCCTCCCAGAACTGGATGTTGGTCCACACCACATGCTCCTGCACGCAGCTGTAGGCAAACTGCGTGATGCCCGGGCTCAGTTTCTGAGGAAGCAGAAGGTGGAAGAGAGTTTCATACAGACGTGGCCTTTGGGCTGAGCTCTCCTCTCCAGCTAACCCCTGCTCTAGCCTGTGGCTGGGAAAGGCAACGGACACCTGGGCAGGCAGGAGGGACACTGGAACCAGAGCTCCTCCAACCATTCCCTGCAAACTCCTCTCAGATTTGCCCAGCACCCACCCAGAGCCCCACAGGTCCACACACTACAGATGCTTGAAGAGAGACAGAACCTTATCCCAGCCCAGCGTGACCCACACATCAAGCTGCCCCTTCAGAGCAGCCCCAGTGTCTGAGCACCCTGCCTGCAGGTGATCCAGCCATGTCCCCAGGAGATACAACCAGCCTGGGGAACGAGGCTGCAGATCAGCCCTTCAGAGAGGGACCTGGGGGTTCTGGTCCATGG